TCATGCGCAATATTACTTTAAGCGAACAGGGCCCCGTGATATTGAGTTTGGGATACAAATCATACTTAGCGTGACACAAGTGCATGTAGCGATAAGTCCCAGGAGAGACCGTTTAGCTTCCAGGTATCAAAAACGTGCTAGCAGACTCCCTCACAGATGCTTTGCTATTGACCTTGAGTGGGAGTTACACAACTTTATGGTGAGCACTGTTTTAGCTGTATGGGGAACCCCCATAAGGGACCTATTGGCCTCTTAGACAAACAGGAAGTGCAACATATACTACTCCAGAAGAGCCCTAAGATGTCACTCTCAGGGTGTTACTGTATTTTTTCCTTGGCCAGACCATCTGAACTATGTCTTCCCTCTCTTACCCCTCCTACCTTGGGTCTTATGGAAGACTCATCAGGACAGGACACAAGTCATCCTCATCACCCCCACTGACCCAAAAAGTTTTGGTCCCTGAGTCTCCTATGTATGTCATCTCAGTCACCAGTCAGCATTCACCTTTTTTTCTGATCTTCTGATCCATGGGAAGGGCAAAATCAGACACCCCAATCCCCAACCATTCCATCTCAGATGATGGTTTTTGGATTGGCATCGATTCTAGAACATTCATGCCCTGAAGCTGTACAAAGCATCCTTATTAATAATAGAAAGGATTCCACTAGAAAATGGTACTTAACTTAGCTCTGATGGCAGATCCACCTTATGCTATATTCCATATAGAGAAGGTCTCATTGCACTTACATCCTAGTGTAGCCAATGATTTTAGTTTATTATCCATTTATTGTGTGATATGATTAATCAGTTATATTACATATGTTCATTGTATGTTAGAGTTAATTTGTAGGATTATAAAAGTATAAGATTGATCAGTATTTAGAGGAACAAAGTATTAGACATGAGTAAGACCAGCTGAAACATGAGAACCTGTTGAGGCCTGCAAGACTTTACCTTAGCAATTTTAGGTCTTGGAGACAAGAAATGATGACATAAATGACCGGAAGATAACCTGATGCCCTAAGATTATGGGAAAAGAGATACCAACTGGTACGATTGCAAAAAATTACTCAGAAGATTAATATTGGATCATAAAAACACTGTAAAGGCGCATCTGTCTCCGACATGTCTTAACCACAGGATACAGGTTGTGTGTGTCAGCGCTAATGAGGATAAAGGGAACTTACGCAGCCTATAGAAAATTGGGGGTCCCTTAAGTTTCCAATGGACACAGACCAGTAAGAGAAAAGAGGGTTGACATTTTTATGGACTTGTGCTGAATGTAGGTATAGATAGAATCACATTTTAAAAGGGATGCCTAGAACGGGAATATTTGAGCTCCCTATGGGAGACTCCACCATTCCTCTACTGATGATCAAGCCATGAGAGACCCATCAGACCCTGACACTGTTGTTAAGGATGTGAGTCCCTAGCCTCTGTTTGCCAGAAGCTGGGAATGGGTGATAAGGGATGGATCACTTGATGATGACCTGTTCTGTTTGTTCCCTCCGGGGCACCTGGCACTGTCCACTGTCAGAAGACCAGATACTGCACTAGATGGACCTTTGATCTGACCCAGTATGTCCATTCTTATGTTATGTTCTGTGACAGGGCAAGGCCACATGGCTATAGAAAAGTAGTGGGAGATAGATATATTAGCTCCAGGCTAAACAAATCCCTGGTACCAGGATAAGTGAAATGGCAGCTGCTCCAGGTCAATTAAGACACGTGGGGCCAATTAAGAACTTTCCAGAAGGCAGGGAGAAGGCTACGTTGATTGGGACACCTGAAGCCAATCAGGGGCTGGCTGAAACTAGTTAAAAGCCTCCCAGTTAGTCAGGTGGGGGGGCATGTCAGGAGCTGTAGGAGGAAGTTGCGCTGTTGGAGAGATTGAGTAGTACACACCATATCGGGCACGAGGATGGAGGCCCTGAGGTAAGGGTGAAGTGGAGCTTGAGGCAGTGAGGGCTGCTGTGGGGGAAGTAGCCCAGGGAATTGTACATGTCATGTTTCTAAAAGGTCAGCAATCATAGCTGATACTATTAGGCGCCCTGGGCTGGAGCCCAGGAATAGAGGGTGGGCCTGGGCTCCCCCCCACCACCTTTGCCCCCTGATTAATCACTGAGACTGGGAAACAACAGAGACTGTGTAAGGAAGGATAACTTCTCCTCACCTCCCTCACTGGCTTATGATGAAAATGGCTCAGTAGACTGTGACCCTTGTCTCTAGAGAAAGAAGGTTACGTGGAGGGTCACAGTGAGCCTCTGAGGCTAGCGAAAGCTGCCAGGAAACGCGGGACCCATGGAGGCAAGGACAGAGCTTTGTCACAGTTCTTATAACTATATTTGTAACTTGTGCATAGGTCTGTATAGAATTTCTATGTGCTTGGGCAATGATAACTTTAATTGTAACTTGAATAAACTTGTAAAATAGACTAGACCTTGTACTTGTGACTGTATGTGTAGTCACTACCTTTGATCTTTGTGTTCCGAGAGACTCTAACTCTGAAGCAAGTAGCAAATGTGACTTTCACTCTGTTAAACTTGAAACTGTAGCTACCAGAGCTGAACCCCAGTGGTGTAATACCACATTACATAATTCATGTTAAATAAAATAAAAGGCTACACTAGGTTCACACCCAAAGAAATTTCAGAATTTCCGCTGAACCAGTCAGTTCACTTAAAATGTATTCTTTCCAAAAGCGCACACATCTGCAGAAGAGAGGAGGCTTCATTCCTCGACATGTTTACCTGCAAAGAACAATATCAATCAGAAAATCTCCCAGACTGTTTATCTCCATAGCAGAAAAAGTTTGAGGTCAAGGTATATCCTCTCATAGAATATATAAATGGATCTTGGGCTGTATTTTACTTTGCTATCAGCTGTCTAATTTTTCTGACCCTCCTGAGCATGAGGGCTCGTTCCATGAAAACACACATGACATCAATGGTATTGCTTCAAGATGTGCCTCTGTGTGACTTTTGCAAAGCAGCTATGTGAAGTTCCATCCACATGTTTGTGAGGCACTATGCTTTAAGACAGGACTCCTTCATTGACTCATCCTTTGGAATGAGAGTCCTTCAAACCGTTCTGCCATCTGCCTCTTCACACCCTCCTATGTGAGTACTGCTTGTCAGTCACCCACAGTGGAATACACATCGGTACCAGCACTTGAAGAAAAAAAGAAAGTTACTTACATTCATAACTGGAGGATTTTCTACATGTGTGGTCCCTAGCTATATTCTACTACCTGTCCTCCTTCCCCTCTCCCTTAGCCCATCTTTGGATTCATGGTAGAGAAAGAACTGGGGAGGCTGTTGGTCTGCCCCACCCTTTGTTTCTTTGGTTGGAAGTACCAGGAGACCAAGGGCAAATGCGTGGCCCAACAGACGCTGCTTTCAAGGTTCTGTGGCTTCAGGGGCATGGAGCACATCTGTGTATCCATAGCGGAATACAGATAGGGACTACATATCTCCAATTATGAAGATAAGTAACTTTCTTATTCACAGGCCAGTTACTATCCAAATAATCAGTGAGAGTTTCTTCACTCTTCCCCATTTAGTGAGTTTCTGAGTTTGAGGGACATGATAAGCAATTGCTATATATGTCTTATAGTTATTCAGGGTTAGATTTCTCAAACCTTTTTTGTCTTGAACATATATGTATGCCATTCATTATAGAATTGACTCTGGATAGAGGTTTTTAGTCAGTTGCATTGTCAGCCTGACTGTACTTTCGTAATTAAATGAAGTTCCTCTTACAGAAGAAATGCTGTGCAAGTCTTGATTACTTTAGGTTTGATTGGACAGCATGGTTGTTTGTTGTCAGACAAATTTTCAATAATGCATATAGAATTTTGCATATATCTGGCATATAAGTATCGTGATACAGGGGAAGTCAAGGTTTTCTGGCATTTTGGAATGCACATGTAAACCCATTTGCATGTGTACATCAGAGTATTTGTATGCCTAAACTGGGTGCATGAAACAGTAATGGTATGCATTTGTGCATCACTTTTGTAGAGATGGCTCCATACCTGCCTGTTAATATCTTACTAAAGACCCATGTTTCTGGCTTTACCAAGTGTGCTAATAAATACACTGTAAAGTAGATAGATGGCATATTCTTATTGTCTGAATGCAGTGGCAGCTTTTATTATGGGGCTCATTTTAAATAATTGTGATTACAGGTGAATAGTTAACCTTTGAATCAGCAGTAAAAGTGGAAGAGCAGAGTGAATTTGGTGTTAGGTGACTTAACATCTTGAACTTTGCTGTTGTGGTTTTGTGTCAGGCATGTGGAGTGTAGCAGCCATAACTGTTTCACAACAGATACGTTCACAAAAATACTTATTTATACTGCCACACATTATTGTAGAGTCTGAGGGCCTTCCACATAAAACAGCATCTCTAGCGGGTTCTGGCTCTTTTCTGATACCCTTTCAATTTATAGAATCTTCGTTTGGGATAGGTTTATTTATTTATTTATTTTGGTTGGGGCGGGGAGGGAAAGAGGTGACGTGTGTTGTGACCACGATTATGGTTATCATGACAAAGATTTATTAAATAGGAAGGTTTTACATTATTTCCTAAATGTTGTTCTATTCTCCACTGGAAGCTATTTCCACTGCTTGATACTGAGAGTAGTTTTGTTTCCAGATCTCAGGTGGTTTGTTCTGGGTTTCATCATCTGCATTGTTTCAAAGGCATCCTTATGTGTTGCAGGTTCATAGATGGTCACTCTGTGCCTTGAAAGGGAAAATGCAAATTTGCCCAGTCTTCAAAACTTGTGTATTTTAAGTTTAATTTTTTTTAAATCAACTTGATTCTATGGGTCAGTGATCTCCAAGAAATTTACCTATGCAGCAACTTATGAAGCGTCTTGAGATGCCACATCAATGGTCTATATTCCTAGACTAAAATCTTTAATATAATCCATGTTTATAAAAATGACAGTTGATCTCTGTGTTTAAACCCCTCTTCTCCTTTTTATTCTCTCAGAATCTGTCTATGACCTCCTCCCAAAGGAGTTGCAGTTACCACCCTCCAGAGAAACATCTGTAGCATCCATGAGCCAAACAAGCGGTGGTGAGGCAGGTTCGCCTCCTCCAGCTGTAGTTGCTGCTGGTAAGCATTCCGCTTTGCTCAGTTATATCCTTAAGATGTGTAGTATTCTGGCCAACATGAACAGTGCTGGCAAAGTTTGGAGTCTGAGACGATTATGAAGAAATAAATGAGAGCTCATTCTAGGAGACTAACAGTCAAACTGATATACATTACTATAACATGTTATCTTAATCATACTTGCATTACATGCATAATGTACTTACAACCAAGAAATGTAATACTGTGCTTTTCCCACTGGTAGTCTTCAACACCATAGGTGTGTACTAACTCCTAGAATGCACTCTTCTCTTCAGATATGGTAGGCACCAATTTGGAACTGAGTCAATGTGTGTAAAACAATGAATTCCACATAGCATAAAAGATAGAATATGAGATGGTATTTTGGCCTTAAGTCTTTTATCAGGCTATAGGAAGAAAAAATACCATGTTTTCCTTTGTATGGCCTGAAGAAGCTCTCAGGATTAAACCACACTTAGATATATTTTCTGTTGTTGCATGTGCTGTAATCTTTTTATTGCATATTAAAACATAAATAACTACTTAATGTGATTTCATATTTATCAAAAATGTCTGAAAGTATTATTTAAATTAGGTACACCGTTTAGAATTAAGCACATTTCTTTTTATAATGTATCATTTTGGAGAAAGTGTGGGACATGACACTTCAACTTTATTTACAAAATACTAAGATCATCTCCTTATGCAGAATATTTTAAACTTAAAGCATAAAGTCCCTTTTATTGATTTTTGTTTTTAAAAAAATTCGTAGGGAAGTGTGAGTCCATTGCTAAGGATAAAGTTTTGATTTGTGAGGTTGGCACCAGTGCTCTCCAGAGTGCTAGTGCATAGCTGGAACTCTTAGGTCAGCTGTATAGACTAGTAAGCAGTTTAACTTTAGCAAAAAGGCAAACCAATCATTGTGCCCACGGCTTATACCTCTTCCCTAATGGGCTGAGATTTCTTGAATAATTGGATCCCTGTAATCTTTATAACGTTATATTAAGTTTGAGAGAGGTGTGTTGACCATCAGTTGATGTTCTAGAAAATTAATGTTTGAGGTGGGGGTGCTGGTAGCTGCATTATGCAGCTTTTGCTGTAGATTCATGTGCATTAACCTTCTATATAAAAACATGCCCCAGAAATGCACAGTGCCCTAAACAGACTTCCTGGTTGGGTGCTGAAAAGGTTTAAATCTGGAAGAGAAACTTACAGCACTGATCACCGTTCATGTTTTGCCAGACATTTTCTGACCGAGCCAGTGGATTTAATTGTGTACTGTGGAGCTTGCTAGTCATTAGATTTATAAAAAGTGGTAATTTCTTTTACAAGTGTTTGATTCCAAAAGATTTTAAATTACAAGATATTTTAGCTCAGTTCTTAATTATGAATCTGGTTTAAAGGTACAGCAACAATTGAGCACTTTTGCAGAAACACAGATTTTTAAAAAAACTGTTACAGTTAAATCCACAGATAGAAATGTAACTGCTAATTATGTTTGTACCTTTACTGAGACAATTTTTGAGCATTTGAATTGAGATAAACAGAACTAAATGTCTGTTCCTGCTAGGTTTTTAGCATCTGCTGACAGTCAATCCAGATGGGTTTAAAAAGCTGGGAATGTGGTAGCTGTGTTTGGGTTACACTGCAGCATTGACAGTTCAAGATTATAACAGGGTTCCAAAAAGAACTAGATAAATTAATGGAGGACAGGTCCATCAATGGCTGTTAGCCAGGATGGGCAGGGATGGTGTCCCTAGCCTTTGTTTGCCAGAAGCTGGGAATGGGCGACAGGGGATAGATCATTTGATTGCCTGTTCTGCTCATTCCCTCTGAAGCACCTGGCATTGGCCACTGTTGGAAGACAGGATACTGGGCTAGATGGACCTGACCTGGTAGGGCCTTATGTTCTTTCCTTTAAAGAAAACTGAAATAAAATAATGTAGATCAGAGGTTTATTTGTAAACATTGGAAGAAGGTTCCATGTTCACTGAACTAAAAGGGGTCTTTAATGTCACTTTGTGATGATGATTCTTCTGCATCAGAATTGTGAGAAGCCAGTTGGGTTTTTAGATTTCACAGGGTGCAGTTAAAAAGCTGGATCAAAAGTGGCATACTTGATTGTAAAATTGTAAAGAATTTAACAGCTTAGATCATATAAACTTTGTTAACAATTAGCATAAAACATTAAAGTATGGATCTCATTACTGATGTCACCTGTCATAAAAGTGAATGTCCAAAGGATTGAATCTTGGTATTTTAAACAGTGTTTCATTAGTACCTTGAAGCCCCAGTCAGTGATCAGCACCATTGTGCTGTGCACACATGTAACAACTGTGATGGTCCATAACCCAAAGAGTTTGACTGGGGCTTTTGAAGGAACCTAAGGGAGTTATGTGCCCATATCTAATTGACTTTCAGTGGCAGTTAGGTGACTAATTCCCTTAGACCCCCAGTGAAAACCCCAGACTACACTTTCAAAATGTGACAGGAGTCAACAGAAGTGTAAAACAGACATAATGCAAGTGAATCTACTGTTTGCGTAATACATAGCAGTGGAAGGGTTCTTCCCCTCTTTGCCTCCACCATCTGGTGCAGTTTGGGAGAAGGCTTCTCTCCCCAAAAAAACCAACCGTGTGGAGAGCTGAACAGGACCACCTGTGTCTCTTTCCCCTGTGAACTTAGGACAGTTTTGGAGGTTGTAAGGGAAGAAACACCCCCTTTGTCTCCAAGATTGGGAGAGGCTGCTTGGGTTAGTCTGGTAAATTTTGGACCTGACTTGTGACCGCTCCATTTGGAAGCTGGCAATAGGAGAAGAAACAGCCCCCTCCACAAACAATAGGAGAGAGTGGAGAAGTGAGTGTGAGGCTCTGTCGTGGACCCAGTGGGCTGGTTACTAGTGTTGCCACAAGATCCCTGATCATTCTGCTGCTGCATCAGTGCCAGTGGCCCTGCTGCACTCCCTCCAAGCAGACTTCTGATCTGCCACGGAGAGGTGAGATGAGGGCCAAGTCTCTTTTCCTCCCCACCATCTCCTCCACACAGCAAGGAGCCCTCTCTGAGCATGTAGGATTTGCCCAGTGCAAAGAGAGAGATTCTGGGCTGGGGAGATTCAGAGACTCTGCCTTCCATCTTTCCCCTTGACCAAACGTCTGCAAGGAGGGGAGCCCAGTAGTCCTGCTTCAGTGGGAGGTCTGGGAAGTTTACACTTAGGGCTGGAGTTAGTAGACTGGAGCCCAGGCTGGGCTCGCCTAGAGGATTACACATGCCTTCTTTTTGAATGTTTTGGAGGGATTGATTCTCTTATTCCCAGGGGAGCCATAGTTTCCCGTTGTGGTGGGTTACACTTCCCCAGCCCTCTTCTCAGTTCTCTCTCAATTCCTGTGAAGGAGGAGTTTGTTTCTCCCCTATACCCAAAATTCTCCAGGTTCCCAAAGGAAGGGGGCACAGGTGCTTCAGTCAGAAGGCTGCTATTTCTCCTTCTTTGGAAGGAACAGTATTCCTCTGTGCTGCACTAGTTCCTTTTTGGGTGCACCCCTCTCTATTGTATGCCCCAATTGTCTTAGGGTTGTTGCAGTCTCTTCAGGCAGCTGCCACAGCTGGCCCTGACTCTTGCAGTATAAGGAATCTATTTGAATGAGGTTCCTTTCTGTTTATAGGAAAAAAAGTGGGAAGGTCATTCCAGGCTCCCTGTGCGTATTGTAGAGAGAGAAAGAGGGCTGTGTGTATTTATATTTAATTTAAAAAACCAAGATTGGCCATTCACTCATCTTGATTGTCACTTTTAAAAAGTGGTTAGTAAAAGAGCACAGACGCACATTCAAGTGGCTGACGTAGAAATGGTAAAGTTGGGAAGAAAGGTGATCTTGTCATCTTAGAGTTCCACTATCATAAGCAAAAAGAACAGGAGTACTTGTGGCACTTTAGAGACTAACAGATTTATTTGACCATAAGCTTTCGTGAGCTACAGCTCACTTCATCGGATGCATTCAGACTAACATGGCTGCTACTCTAAAATTATCATAAGCCTGTTTGTTCATTCTAGTGTTTTGTGTAAATCTTGTGTGCTATCTTATTTATCCTAAAACTACAATGTATTTTGTATGTTATAAGTTTAAACCTACATCACTGTAGATGAACCCATTAAAATACATTGTTGTTTTTTAAGAGATGGGGTTAACTAGAAATAGCTCTAGCATTTATTAGTAAAAATAAATAAATAAAATGATGCAGGTGCACTTTACTAGAAGCAATGAGAAGATTAAATCATAGGGAGTGATGAGGTTTTTTTTTCTCATTTAAAATTTAACATAATTTGTTTTCTGCTTCCGTAGCCACAGGGTAACACAGTATCTGGCTGAAAATCAGATTTCTGTAGGGTTTTCCAACAGATGCTTTGCTCTGAGGTTTTGTTCCATGTAAATGCATTGTATAAAAATCTTGCTGCAGCTAACTCTTTAGATTTTTGGAGGAGCAGGATGGGCTGTTTACAGGTATGAGGGCCTGACAGAAACAGACTTCTAGTACTACCATTTAACATATTTTTTTTACAATTTACAGGTCAGTTTAAAAATTTTAAAACTGGGTCTTAATAGTTGGATTTTCATGAACACATTTGAAATTTTAACATAAGCAATACAATGTGTATCTCATATTCATCAATTCAGATGAAGAGTTTTACCCACTCTTTGAAGGTCAATCAGGCAAGTATAGACAACTAGGAATCCAGAATTTTGTGCTGCAACATTGATATCCTCAGCTTCTTTCTCAGGTAACTAGTTCCATCACACTTCCAGAAAATAGGAGGAGGAAAATGGGATCCCTATATGCATCAGCACTAAGGACTAGCATTGTGAGCTCTTTGCGTAGACTGCTGCAGTAGGAGAATCTTCATCCAGAGGGCAGGAAAAAGAGTAACATGAGCCAGCATTAGCATATTACTAACAGGAAATATGGATCATTTACTAAGATCTTTTGATTGCAGACCCAGATGATGAAGCAGT